AACCTTGAGTGGACTCACTCTGCTCCTGAGTTTCCCATGTACAAAGTAGAAATCATATACCACCTAGTCAAAAGAAAACGGTTGTTGTGACGATTAAATTATGAAGCAATCACTCAACAGTCCGTGTCACAAAATAAGAGCTGTATCAATTTAAAAAAAAAGTCTTTAATCTTCCCCCAATGAACTCACTAAGTCTGTAATGTTTTTATTTTTTCTTAGTTTGTCCTCACTTCATGCTATCTGTCCTTCTTGCTGTCTGTTATCTATATAGTGACATCATCTCTCATTTTGTTCTTAAGGAGCACTCCTGAGTTTAAAGTAGACATAAGCCATCCTCCTGTATTCGTGAGCAACATTTGGCTATCTCAAATGCAGTGTATCTTTTTGTCAACATTATAAATAAGCACGCATTACATTGTACTGTTGTTTAAATCACTCGTTGCTTTTACAGCTCTAATAATGTTCATAGTGTATTCCAAGTCTGGCGTGAACACTGCAAGTAGTACCTTCAACTTGAAATGACCAGTGTTAAGATAACATCAACCACGATCGCCATCTGTTGGTGGTGGTTGGTGTAGACGCATGTCTCCCAAACCCAAACATGTTAACTGGGAAGAAGGGGATGGCAAGTAGGAAGGGAAAGAAGGTGTGTGTGCACATGTTTGCACATACATCACTTAGAACCTGTAAGGAGCGCACCACCATTCAGATTTGGACTTTGGGTGATTTTAATTTTATCAGCCTAATATCTGTGTTCTAATTCCAGTAGTATGTATTGCTTTTGTGATTAGAATAAACTAAAAAGAAAGATATAACTTAGAAGGGAGAAAGCTATGGGGACAAGCAAATCATTTTTTTTCAAATTAAAAGTAAAATATATTTGATTTTTAGTCATAAGTGGTAATGGGAGAGAAAGGAATAAAGATATATTGCAAACTAAAGAAGTTTTAGTACATTCTAAGCAGTTCTTTAGCCTTGTCCGCATAAGCAAGTAGGTCTAAACGTGAATTTTTACTTGTTATCCTCTCCCTTTGAAATTCTAATTATTCTGCAGTCACGTCTCTTAATTACTCTTTATCCCGTTACTGGTGGTGCTTCCTCTGGAGTGGATTAGCTACTCATAGAAAGAGCATCATAATCAGGGCAGCGAGGGCTGCGGTCTGAGCCTCCATACTTTGAAGTTGGATAAAACCTGAGGAATCAGCATGGACACAGTGCTTCCACACAGCCCTATACCCCCACATTCTCGGGTGTGTTCCTGCTCCATGTTCTTAGAGTGTGCATTCTGCCTGTCAAGAGCCCCCATTTGCCTGGTACATTGTACCTCTCTTTTCCTTAAATTTTTTTTTTAACAAATTAAGCTACAGATGGCAACAAGGGAAGCTGAAAGTTTGGGTTGCTTTATCAACTTGTACCCAACCATCTGTTACTCTTGTGGGCACTAGTGATTGACAGTAGATGCAGATTCAGTTCTAATTACCTGTGACACCTCCTCCCCCCCATTATTAAATCTCACTACAAGTAAAGCTGTCAGGACAACAGTGACCATTTCCCATTATGCTCTGAGTGGACGGCGTGGAGATGTTTAATGAAAGGGAAACCCCTTAACACCCCTCAGTGGCTCCAAGTAATCACCTCCCTGTGTGCAGGAAGCCAGCAGACCGTAACTCCGCAGACAGAGTGGAAGCCTTTCTACCTCTCTGTGAAACCACGGTCTTTCAGGCCTGGCCCACAAGCTGATGAAAACCGCAGTGGAAAGTCAAACTGATCAATTTCAGAATGTCTTCTCTTCCTCTCCTTTCTGTCAGTCTCGAACCATGCATTTGTTTCGTGTTAAAAAACAAACAAAAACGGCTGGCCTTGGAAAAAGAGAAATCCGCGTCAGTATCGAAATGGAAGGGACCACTGAGTCCGACCGTTCATTGTCACGCCCCCCCATCTCCTTTCATAGCTGAGCTAATGAAGGACACACTGCTTTTCATAATAACTTCGTAAATAGGCTGCAATGTAAACTTAAATAACATGCATTTTTTTTGAACTTTGGAAATTTAGGCAAAGTCTTAGACTCAAAACGTGATTTTTTTTTCTACCACTTACAATAATGGGGGTAATAACAGATTGTGAAGATAAATAAAATACATAAGATGTATATAAGACACTACACATAACCTCATCATTGTTCATGGTACAGCCTTAAGAGCATAAGTAGGAGTTTGGTAACTGTAATCCCCTTTATTATTTCTTCAGTGAATCTGACAATTAGGGCTGACTTCTGGGAAGAAAAGATTGGCACAGGTCCTTCGGGATCTAGCTGGGTAAGCTGGGGTAATGGACAGATGGGATGGACATGTCTAAAGTGGTGTTTGAGGTACATTTACGCAGACGGGTCCTCTTAGACAGACTGGTGGTGGCCAGAGGACTATTTAGTGCTTTTAAAGTAAGTCTAGACAGCGTGGGGAAGAAGGGGATTTTGGAAGCGTCAGAGACAAAGCTCGGCAGGGTTACAGTCATCTTTGAGGAATGACTGCACTGATACAGTCCTGGGTAACCTGAGCTTGGTGGGAGATGGGGAGAGTGACAGTGTTATTGAATCAAGATACGGGGAGGAGATGGAGTATGTGTTTAGATTGCTTTGAGAATAGAACTTAGAAAGTGGTAGGCAGGAGGCAATTTTTAACTAAATACTTGCTATCTTAACAAAACAGTAAGACATTTAAGTAGAAAGAAAGAGGTGAAGACAAACAAAAGCTCTTGCAGAATTTGTGTGTAAAAAAAAAAAGTCAGGAAAGAGAAATGGCATCATAAAAAACGAATTACAACTACATCTCTGGATACATGTCCAAATAAAGTCAGGGTTAAGGATCAAAAACTAAATGTAAAAAGAGAGGCAAGGAAGCGGAATGGACAGGGAAGCCCCAGATGGACCACGGAGATGGAATGAGAGCCTGAGAGCCGCCTCTGTGGGTACCGGTTCCCATGGTGAAGAGCAGTGCACACAGCGCAGGTGTGAGCGTGAGCGCCATGTCTCGGGCGGCAGAGAAGAAAGAGCTCAGTGGGCCAGGGGTGTGGTGTGGCCTGAGTGTTAGCCTCTTTATGTCCCCTACATTTCTGTGTCTTTGCCATCATGAAGTGTTCAAAGCAGCAGCAGAGGGGACAATGCCAACTCCCGACCTTGTCCTAAATGTCCTACTGCTTGGCTGACAAAAAGCCCGCGCTCTGAGACCTCAGGCGAAGTATCCTCACTTCAGTGACTGTCAGCCCCCTTGTTCTCAGCTGCAGTCATACCAACTTTTCCCTGCTTTTGGAGATGTGCGGGTGACAGAGTCTAAGAAATGTTTCATTGAAGCCTACAAATGGGAGAATGCTGGGAATGACCAAGCATGTGACCTTGAAAGTTGAGTGGCTGCTAAAGGGTCGTCTTCCTGCCTTGTTTGTTTTTGGTGTTCCTGCGTCTTTACATCTATTTTTGTAAACGTAGTGATCCAAGTGGATGTTGTTATAAATGCTCGGTGCTTCTTCAGGGAATTGAAGGTGTTTGTGCTGCATTGTGTCTCTTGGATGTAATTATCATTGGAACCCTAAATGATCTTTATTTTCATGCCTAGTTAGAACTCATTGGACTACGTGACTATACAGAGTGGAAGGAGGAGAATTAAATGGCTAAGAGAGGTAGCTCATGCCATTTGTTTTCTCCAGACAAATGTATTTCAGCTGCTTTTAATGTACAAGTACAAGTTTATAATATTCAGAGTGGTGTAGAACGGGATGCAGAGTTCTGAGATTGCCTAACACACTTAAGACACTTGAGTTTCTTTTCTCACTCCCCAGTGCCTCAGTGCGTTTATGACATGCTAGACAAGTGCTCAACCACCCAGCTACATCCCCAGCATTAAGACTCATCCCATCTTTTAATCCTCAAAAGTCCATCATGAGAAAGGCATAAGAGAACATGTTTAGAAACTTGTAACTTAACCATCAGGAAAGTGGAATTTTAGAACTTAACTATATATACGTGAGGAAATTTGGGCCCCAGACTCATGAAATATGTCCTGCATATTTCTCTCAAGTTTACTTTGATTTTAAAAAATATAAATACTATTTTTCAGAATTTTCCCTGAGGTCTTAGAAAACAAGCGTAGGTAATAGTGCTTCTTCTCCTCAGGGTCTGCACCAAGTGGGTATGGAGTTAGTATCTGTATGTGAATATAAATTAACATTTAACTTTTAGGAGCAGTGCACCAAATCAGAATAGTCTGCATTTTTCCTCTCCCCAATTTCTGTGACACCATAAGGAATTTAACCACATTTCTCATGCACACAATCATTAAATTAGTGATTAATCCCTGTTCAGTTTCATAGTCTCAACCGTCCATTTTATACACACATACATGCTCACGCTCACCATACTAATAGTTATTACTGAATTAGAAGGTGATATTAGTAACATTTATAAATGTAGAAGTCTTTTGCAAAAGAAAAAAAACCCTATCTTTTACCACTCTCTTTTAAGTTTGTTAGGCATAATACATATACAGCTGCCACCTAGCCTGTGACCACACAGCACTGTTCACTGAGCCAGGATGAATAGAATAATACAACAACTTTTTTGCTGTCTGTATTTCATAAAAGCTGTGTGGGTCGTAGGACTTTAATAGATCTGTGGCCTTGTATTTGGCTTTGTAGTTGACCACAGACATAATGTTACCAGAAGGAAAAAAAAAATTTTTGTATAGAGTGTACAGTGCATTTCCCCCCCAAAAGATTGTCAGGAAAGTACCTAGTCTTCAAAGCTAAACATCAAACTTCATACAGAGCTTCAAAGGGAGAGCCTGGCCATTCCATTTTTTAGTTTAAAGTTCAGAATTCTCATTGCATGCTCCTCAGTAAAGAACATTTTGTACTTTAAAGTTTGCAGATGTTTGAAAAAAATATGTGTGTTCTTTGGACTTGGACATGAATAAGAGTTCCTTATGACTTCTTCCTGTTGCCTTTTGTTTTAGATATGGGAAAATCGTCTCCACGAAGGCAATTTTGGATAAGACAACCAACAAGTGCAAAGGTATGTTTCTGTGGGCAGTCATCCCCTTGGCCATAGCTTCAGAAAGACAACCGAGTGACTGGTCTTCAGTTTCACAATCAACCTCACGGTGTTAAAAAAGCAAGTCTCGTGTGTCACCCAGTTTCTGTCTTGCACAATGTCAGCATATTGCTTACGTTTGTTTTGTCCCTGGTTGAGTTTTGGCTGGAAACCCCACAACTAGCAGTTTGCCAGAATTCCGGATTTGGCACCAGTAGAGTTAACATGTAAAAATACGAGTTGGCATTTAGCCCCTGCCTCTAAAAGAGGGGGAGCAGAGCTAAAGAATAGCTTTCCTTTCCTGAGCCTGGGGAGATTAGAGCTGCTTACTGAAGACCATTGGACTGTACCAAAGAACTGAAAAGATTACATATTGTGTAAATTGGCTCTATTAATTAGAATAGAGTAGTTTTAAGCAGTACTTAATTACATGTTTCAATACTCTCGATTGTTCTCTGCTGAATGCCTGTTGACAATATTGGCGGCAGGGAGGAGGGAACCATTTTCACTGACCAAATTGTACCAGGGAGGGGAGGTCACGCGCCCCTTTGAAATATGCTGCTGCATTAATTTGATGCACTGACCTTCAGTTTTCCATGCAATTAGGATGAGCTCATCCAGCTCCTTGAGCTGCGAGTGAAAGCGTCCAGAGCAGGGTGGCGCAGATGCTCTGCGCATCTGACTTTTAATGATCCAGTGTCTTAACAATAGGCATGTGATTTCTAGGAAAATGGAAGAATGAAGTCAGCTGACTTTGACTCTAACTACTGACCCCGGGAATTGAAGCAAGGTTGACAGGAATAGGCAGAGAAGGCAGATCTCCTCATTAATTAGACTCCAGTTTTTCAAGTCGTGGTGATGGGGCATTGGCTTAGCAATGAAAAAGGCAGAGAACATAAATGAAGCCTAGGGTGAGGCCTCCCCTTGTAAGCCAGTCCTTTCCTTTAATCTAGACTTGAAGTGGTTCATTGTATGCTCCCCTCTTCAAAGTGCCAAGATTTAAAGGAGCTATTGTGGCAAATATCTAAGCCCGTGTTTAATCAACATGGCATATTAAGGCAGTTTTGCCTTAGGACAGCGAATAGAGTGTGCTTTATGTAGAGTGGTACCCAATAAATATTTAAAATGAATTAAACCAGAGAGAGGCAAATGAATGCGGAAATGCATGCACTTAGTTGCCAAGATTGGTTTTATTTAGCATCAATAAATGATTTGGGAGATCAGAGACATACACACACACAAAAAAAAAAGTCTTTTGGTTTTATGGAGAAAAATAGGCCCTCACCAAGCACAAAGCAGGAAGCTGATCTCAAAAGTGAACTTCAAACTAGGAGAGAAATCACAGTGGATAAATGGTTTTAGTCTCCCATCCCTCCCTTTCTTCCTCACCCCAGAGAAATCTGATGTGGCAGTTCATAATGCTGAAAAAGCAGAGCTGTGCCATTGAGTGGAGGAGAACCCCTTCTCCAGCTGAACTCTCCAGTACCCAGACTGAAAGGCACTACCATGTGCTCTTCTCCAGTGGCCGCCTCTTTCCTGGAAACCAGAATCTGCCCCATGTTCAGTGTGGTCTAGGCAAGGACAGCGAATCTCACACTGCCATATGCAAAGCTGCATGTTTGTGGGAAGGTGTCCACAGATAGAGAGATTTATGAGGCTTCTAAACAAAAGTAAGGGTGATTCAGAGCTGCTATTCAATCCAGCAAGTCTCCTGGCCACCTTCTCATCAAGCAGGTCTTGGGAGACACTGCCCTGTGGGGCCACGCGTGATTCTTTCCAGGATTCTCGGTCTCACTAGCCTCTGCATAGTGTGCGTCGGCAGCTGTAGCGTGTGAAATAGAGGTAAGGGGAGAAGATGATCAAGAGGGAGTTTATAAAGTTATGCCAGCCAGAATGAGTTGGCAGGATGGGGTAATGTTGAGACAAATGAGAAATAGCAGTTTGGTTCATAATAAAGCTGGGTAACATGCCACCTACAATAACTTGCTATGGTCGGTATATGTATATATGTGTATAGTTTTTCACATATGATAGTTTCAGTGCATATAGATAAATTTAAACATAAGAGATTATAGAGAATTGCTATAAATGAGAAACGCTATACTAAATATGAATATATTCAAGTATTTCACACAGGACTCCAAGAGATCTTTGAAGGTCATGAGACTTTTTCACAAACTTATATGGCAGACTCTCTTTTGGACAAAGTTAAGATGAAGAAAATGTTAAGTCTGAATAAGGTGCATTAGTTGTTGACGATTCAGTTGGTATTTTATATTTCAATTTTTGTCCAAATTTAGCAAACAAAAGATTTTGAGGTGCTTACCAGTAATGTCATAGGCAGGTTAGGACAGAAAAGCCCACAAAGGCTTGGCTAGAAATTGAGTTATAGATGAGATGAGAGTACATATACACATTAACACAGAAGAAAAACATGAGTGAGGGTAAATCAGACGGGTAAAGTGCAGACAGAAAACCTCATTTTATCACAAAAGAAGCCTGTGTTTGATAGAAACCAAAGCAGAAAAACAAAGCATACTCTGCCCATGTTCAGTCTTTTCACAATGGGGCCAGACTTCAGTAAACAGGATGACTATGACTACTCAGGGTCTTGGGACCTGATGACTTAATCTCCTGGGATCATCAGTGAGCAAACCTGCATTTTACTTAGCCCCACCTTCAAAGACAACTGCATCCCTGTTTATACAATGAGATCTAATTAATTCTATAGACATCGTATGAAATTGTACGGGTCTTACCTTTACTTGAAAGTAGTACAGATAAATGGACAGCACATGGTTGCATGATTACCAGTTTTGTTTATCTTCAATAAATGGTTATGAATTCCTAGAGTAGGATTCTACAAAGGCCAGAAACACATGCTATCAATGACTGAATGCAACAGTTTGTATTTCTTATTACAACAATAAAAACAAAGAATGGTCCTATTACACGAGCAGATTGCAGCTTCAAGTACAATAGATAGCATCATGGCAGAGAGGTTCTGCTTATTGTAACGTACTGGCAGTGGCAGAGTTGGTAAAAGGACGTGTACATCAGTAGAGGCTGCATCATTTCAGTGCAGCAGGGCGTGTTTGTTTATGATCTCCAGACATTGTGGAGTTGTGTGAGAAAGTCAGAGGCAGAGCTTGCCTGAGAATCCAAGCGTGATGCATATTAACATAAGCCCCAAGTGTGTTCTACCTTTCTCCTACCCTGGCGATTGAGGAGCACTGTCTGCTTTGGCTGGCATCAGCTGCCTCCTTTTTCTTCCCCACCTGGCTATTTTTGTCATGACTAAATCAAATAAGCCTCTCTCAATCCAATTCCAAGTACTATAAAGGAGCTGTTGCTTATTTCACCGTGCGCGTCCCTCCCTCCTGAAGTGTCCACGTCTGTAACTGGTGGTCTGTTCCATTACAGTTTACTTTGTGAAGAAGCAGGTCATGAGGCCAGTGCTGTGGCATGACTGTTCCGTGTTTCTCTTTCGCTTCACTGTTGTATGCATGTCCCTCTAACACCAGTCCTATCTCTTCATAAATTCTGAGTATTGATGGGAGGCCTGGCTCCTCTTCTTCATAGACTTCTAAATAGTGCCATTCTCTTTCAAATTATACTCACTGAAATTAATTTTAGAGCCAAGTGTGGCAGTGCATGTACTCACGAGGCTGAGGAGGAGTGCAGGTCCCAGGTAGCCTGTGCTATGTAGCAAGACCTTGCCTCAAACAAAAATTTTTAATAATATTTTAATATTTTTTATTAAATAAATGCACGTACATCTAGGTACACCCCTGTATGTACACAAGCATAATAGAGATATATACCTGTATAAAAATAAAATTTCATATGACTTGAGTTCAGAGCAAAGCTGGTATTTGGGCGAGGCTCCTAGCAAGTCTTTTAAGTTGTACTAAATATGCTTACCCATTCCTCAGTATGTGAAGAGTTACTGCAGTGAGCACTCTGATTGGCTGCTTTCATGCAGTGATGTCTGATGATCTACAAGGGTCCTCTGACACTCCTTCTTGCTAGTCTGCACTGTAGGTACCGTCCACATGTATATATTCGGTGCTGCCTTCCTCAGCCTCCACCCCCTAGTTTCCTGTTTTGATTTCCTGTGGCCTGGAACATAGATGATGAGCTCATTAACAGTGTTTGTGAAACCACAGGTAAATGAGCACTGAAGAGTGGCCTTTCTTAGGTGTGTTTTGCTATGTTGCATACTGTCTTTAGTCTTTATGCAAAGATGGATGAAATAGCTATTTCAGGTATCTGGAGGCATTTTCCTTCTCTCCTTTATTTTGAAGAGAGCTAATGTTATTTTAGGTAAATGAGTACTTTTAACTAGGCACTAAAATTTAGATTATATTTTAGTATCAAATGTTCACACTTACTTTAACTTAGAAAACTAAGGGATAATCCATAGAATACATAATTTTTGTTTCTGTCACTTTTGAGCTCGTCATATAGCTCCATCTTTTTTTTATTATGTCCTTTAAAAGTTGCTGAAGTTGTCTCTCACAACACCCCCAATGCCCCTTTACTTATTTATGTATTTGTCTATCTATCTATCATCTATCTGTCTGTCTATCTATCTATCTATCTATCTATCTATCTATTTTTACCTTGCTTAGCAACTTAAATGTCAGGTGTTTTCCAGCTCAACTCTAGGACACCTGAGAAGATCTTTAAGAAGACAAAGCTCATGTCCCCACACACCCCTCGCACACACCCACATGCTTTTAAGGGATGCTTTGAAGGACCAAGGGAACCACTGCATCATGCACACATCTACTTCTAATGCCTGTATCAGAACCAAAATGAAGTCCTTTTTTTTTTAATACTTCATATAATCAAAAGGTAATGGCTTAAGAAGAGTGTCTTTTGCATTTCAGGTTATGGTTTTGTTGACTTCGACAGTCCTGCAGCAGCCCAGAAAGCTGTGTCTGCCCTGAAGGCTAGTGGAGTCCAAGCTCAGATGGCAAAGGTGAGTGGAGCCCTGTGTTGCTAAAGGTTGCTGCTCCTCCATCCCTCCAAACACTGCTATGCACCCAGGCATGCATCCTCAGTCATAGCAATTATGCAAAGGCTTTCTTCTTCATGTTCTAAAGAAGGATTGACAAATGTGTATACTTTGCATAGTAAATTATGTAACCCCATAAGTGAGTTCAGAAATAGCATCCGATTTTCTTGGATAATCAGAATTCCGGAAGGCTTTAAAATCTACACTGTTTTCTGAAAATAGATCTTCACAATTTGTTGCCCAAAGAATTAAGCCATTTTAGGCACACCTCAAAGAGAAGGTAATGGGATACATATGTCTCAAAGCAGAATGAGAAGTATTTGGGGAGAGGAGGGAAAACAGCAAAAAGGAGAGAGAAGGAATGGGTAAATAAGAACAAGCCATCATACGCATAGAAATGTCACAGTGAAACCCATCCCTTTGTATAATAACCAGGAGATTCATTTAATAAAGTAATTGGGGAGGGATTGGAAGATGGCTGGTTGGTAAAGTGATTGCCACGCAAACATAGGATCCCTGACAGGCATGTAAATAAAGCCAAGCTCAGTGAAATATTCAAGACTCTCTGTGCTGGGCAGGGAATAGGAGGACGTCACAGGCTTGCTAGCCACCCAGTCTAGCTGAATTGGTGAACTCCAGGTTCAGTGAGAGACCTTGTCAAAAACTAAAGTGGAGAGCTACTGAGAAAGTCATCTAGTGTAAACCGGCCTCCACACACAGACACACACAATTGAAGATAGAAAAGGTAATTGTGCGTAATTTGAAGGGATATATAAGTGGCTCACATATGGATTTATACAAATGAGAGGTTGGATATGAATGTATGCCATAGATGCTGTTTTATCTGTATGATAGCCAGATGATTTTTACATGCTGATTATTTATGTAATATGAATCTATCCTTCAGTAGTTTTATATGGACTTTATTCAAGTCTTATTTCTGGTGGACTTTAAGCATCCTCGCTGAGGAATATTGTTGAAATATTCCTCCAAGTGAAGAATATGCCTAAGCACTCAAGGACTATAAAACAAAGACCATATGTTTCATGGTTCATAAGCATTCGAGCACAGTGTGCCTGGGTTTTAATTACTGTAAAACATAATGCTTTCCCTGAGTTGTGTTCTCTTTTGCTAGTTTCCTTGCAAGGTTAAAGACCTAGAATCCCGGAATGTCATCACTTAGAAATGAGAATGGATTGACTCACTAGTCTGTGTCTCCTTTCACGTCAGATTCATCATCAGAGTCAGGATACTGCTGCAGATGGCTCAGCTGATAAATGTACTCCCTGCCACGCCTGCTAACCCGGGTTCTGTCCCTGGAACCACTGTGGTAGGAAGGGAGACTAACTCTTACAGCTTCTCGGATACCAATAAGCACACTGTAGCATGTGTGTTCAAATACATCCAAGTGTATAAAACACTTAAAGCTTCAGATGATTTGATGAACTTGGAAAGGTTAGTTTAGCATGATCAAAATCACCAACCCAGAGTAGTTAGAATCCTAAAGCTAAAGAGACTTCAGGTTGTTCTCCAACTTACTGGCAATGAGCCTGTTCTTGTTCTTTGAGATAGGAGCTCACATATCCCAGGCTGCCCTTGTACTCCCTGTGTAGCTGAGGATGACCTTGGACTTCTGAATCTTTACCTCCACCTCCTGACTACTAGGATTACAGACATAAACCACCATATGTAGCTTTCAAATTCACATATTTTTATTAAAAATGAGTAAGAATCAGAAAGAGGCAACCCTTGAAGCACTGTGCATCTCTTAATGTGTTGTATTCTATAACTGAAATTTCATTATACACTAAACACATCTCAAAGTCACATTAACTAAGCCAATGTGTATGTCCTGGTCTTTATAGGGCAAATGTAAGCTTGGATGATATCCTAACACATAGTACCTATAGTAAATTTATAAAGATAATCATGGGGTTTTTTTTCCATACATCAGTTTCTGTGTCAAATATTTTAAAGCCTAATATTTGGCAGTATGTTATTTCAAGTCATCTTTTCAAAAGAGCAATGGTTTTCTATTACCAGGCTTTATGAAGTGCAGAGGAAAATAATTGGGTACTGTCCTTGGCTACTTCTGAATAGTACCACACGATCACTCCCTGAGGAACACTCACATGTCCAGGAAAGAAGGCTTACAGAAGTTCAAGGACTATGAAGAAGACATAGGTCACTTGAGAAGACCTGAGAGATGAGTTAGCTGCTCACAGCCCTACAGCTGCCAGCGTAGAGATACTGTGTGAGAATCGACACAGATAAAGGTTTCCTACAAAGGATTCCTTCCTTCTAATCCATACCACTTGGCGCTGAGCTGGCCTCCAGAGTAGAAGTTAAGACAAACAGAAACCATCAATAGGAAGCATCCCAGTTTTCAGATGACTGCCCATCATATGGGCAATGTCCAGTGTTGGTGTTGAAAAAAGTGGAAAAACTATGAGATCGTAAGCACATTGTGAACACAGGGTGCCTATTTGTGTTCTGATCTGTAGAATATTTACTCTGCCCCTGTAATCAATGTGTGACTGGACATAATGATAAGCGAGGCTTACCCAAAACACCACAGTTCTGTCCTTCACTCTATACATCCCAACTCACTCTGCAAAACTCCTCCTTTCTCTTTTGATAATATCCAGGAGAGATGCAATGGCTTCTGCAACTACTCCCATTTCAGAAAGTCCCTTCTCTTGACTTTTCACACCAAAATGCCATCTTAGAGCATCTCTTTCACTACATTTATGGCCATCTCTGTTTGTATTCATGTTGTCCAACCTCATTTAATGTGGTGTTTAAGTAACAGTCTGTTGGAGGGAAAGCCTTGTTACATTTCATATGCAGTATGTAGAATGTGGGGCCATGTATAGGGGTTTCACAGACTGCCCAGAGCTCTATAAAATATGAGAGTCTTGGCTGTTGCTGGTTCCAAGGGGGCCATCACAGACTACATTGTAGTTATTTGCTGGCAGCAGTATTGACTGTTGGGTGATCTGGAAGCAGCATTTTGAAGGTTTCCATCCCAATGATCATTTATTATGTGAACATGTAGAATGGCATGTGATGAATGGGCTTAGTTACATTGCAGCTAAATCTAATTACATTTTTAGAAGATTGGTTGTGGTTGTGACTGATATATAATGTATTATAATTTTTTCTTACTAAAATAATGCAAAATATTTTAACATTTGATTGACATTTTGAAGCTAAACACTTGAAGAAGAGATATTTAATGTATGATGTTCAGTGCCTATAATTTAAACACACAGTCCTGTTTCACAGAAATTCTGAGTGTCAGGTAACAGCAGGGACGTTTCCCTTCCCCTGGGTTAGGTCCACTCCTAGTAGTGTGTGTTCTTACCCAGTCGCTTTCAGTTCCCCAGTTCTGCTTTCTAACCCTTCAGAGTTGGAGCACTAGCAGAGGGTGGGAAGGTCTGTTGGCCTAACAGTGATGGAATCGGGCTGACTTTCTCTCACGGGCAGTAAACAGATGTTCTTTCTCATAAAGTACCCTGGGCGTGTTTCTGAGCTCTCTACCCAACCTACCTCCCATCCCCCAAGCTAACTAACTGTCGGCCTTCCTCCCATAAGCTGTCTCTCCCTGCCCTCCTAGGCAGCCTTCCTAGGGGACTCTAACTCACTCTAGAACCACTCTGTGTGGTCCACTTCTTTTAGGTTTTTAAGAGGGGACTTAACCACACAGCTCAGGATGACTTTGAGTCTGTGATTCTTCCACCTCTGCCTCCTGAGTTCTAGAAATGTTCTATGTGTTAGCAAGCCAGCTTCCAGTGAGTCCTAGTTCCCATCTCTTTACCAACCATCAGTAAGAGAGTAATTACTTCCCAGCCGCACTGGTAGGCCCTTTCAGTCAGCTTTCTGCTTTTCTGTTGTTCAGCTTTTGAGTCATACATCGACCCATTGTATCCTGCGGGCCGGTGGGATACAGATCACATTTTCTGTCAGGCCTGCTGAAAGCCCTGTTGCTTGGCTGCTAATGAGAGCCTAAAAGACCGCGTGTGGAGGCCCAGAACATGGCTGCCTTTCTCTCCACATAGATGTCATTCTCAACCTCTGTCTTTCTTCCAGACAGATCTGGATGATCAGCCACTCACCCTAATCCAGTCATAGCCAGACTTGTAGACTTTCTCTAGGTAGTTTCTCACTGTGGATCCTGGGAACACCAACACCCATTGTCAAAACTGAGTTAGAAAGAAGGCTGTTTTATCAACCTATCAAAAAACACAGGGGCCTTTATGGGGTAGCCCCTATGTACCATCTTAGCCCCTGTAGTATTAAGGAGCATATTTCTTCCAAACAGATAGGCTCTGTTTGGAAGAAATCTTTACAGTGCATTTATTCAAAACAGGCTTGATATAGATTGACTCTATAGGTCATTTCAGTGATGCACTTTGAATGCAATCTTCCAGGAGCGTTAAGAACAAGCCCCATACAAGGGCTTCACAGCTTTACTTTGCAGGGGACATGATTCTCTGTCACCTGTGGGAAGGACCAATGCGCAGATTCAGGGATGCTGGCTGTGTGTCATCATTCTTCCGAATATAAATTTCAGGACCTGGTTCCTTTTCCATTTCTCATCTTTAAAATCACTTTTTAAAATGCTAGTAGATCTCTTGTTCTCTACCATAAAATCATGGGTTTGGGTATCTGGTCTTCACTTCATTCTCTTACACTGATGAACTCAAGGGTTACCTGATACACATCTTTTGGGGAGAGAATTTATATAAAGGAAATTTAAGTCTGGCTTGTGTGGTTACACTATAAGGGACCAATCACTGTCCACTTTCTTCTAGTGAAGGACTCGAGGTACTGCGTTATGTTAAAACCTCACATACTATAGTCTTTACCTCTTGTGTAATCTGAAGCAACAAAGGGGCATTCAGTTGAGGGAAGGCTGAGCTGTAATGTTGCTTGACACCTGGGATACCTGGGATGAGGTA